TAGATAGATAGATAGATAGATAGATAGATAGATAAGATAGGTAGTTAGATATAAGTTAAGATAGATAGATAGATAGATAGATAGATAGATAGATAGATAGATAGATAGATGATAGATAGATGATAGATAGATAGATAGATGATAGATAGATAGATAGATAGATAGATAGATAGATAGATAGATAGATAGATAGATAGATAGATAGACAGACAGATAAGATAGGTAGTTAGATATAAGATAAGATAAGATAAGATAAGATAAGATAAGATAAATAGATAGATAGATAGATAGATAGATAGATAGATAGATAGATAGATAGATAGATAGATAAAATAGATTAGATAGATATCAGAATCAATGTGGTACAGCTTAACCTCCTCCCCTCTTCCAGCCCTCTTGCAGGGGGAATCTTTTTTGAGGGGGGAGACAAAAGGCTGCTTCAGGAAAATAAAAAGAGGAGAAAATAATCCAGAAGAGTGGGTTTGGGAGTGGGGAGAAAGGCCTTTGAAATCGCTCCCACAGAGGGGGGAATTCAAGCCAAACAGTGCTTCGATTCACTTGCCCGCGATCCATCCCAGTGTGCTGACAACCTCTTTGTGCCCACCCAAGAGTTATGGCTGCCATGCGCAGCGAAAGGATGATGCCCAGAGGACAGTGGTCCTGTGTGGCTCCCTCTTCCCTGGGGACAGGCTCAGTACCGCTGCGGGGGGGGGAAGCTTCCCCCAGATATTCGGAGGGCCTTGAAAATGGAGGATGCAGGAGCCATTGCAATGACGCCATTCAGACAAGGAAAGCTATGGTTAAAAGCCGTGGCAGCGTCCATAAGAGCTTGTAAGAGCCGCGGTGGCGCAGTGGTTAGAATGCAGTACTGCAGGCTATGTCTGCTGACTGCCTGCAATTTGGCAGTTTGAATCTCACCAGGTTCAAGGTTGACTTAGCCTTCCATCCTTCCAAGGTGGGTAAAACGAGGACCCAGATTACTGAGGGAAATATGTTGACTCTGTAAACTTAGAGAGGGCTGTAAAGCACTGTAAAGCGGTATATTAAGTCTAGGGGCTATTTCTACTGTCCTTCCCTTCCCTTCCTTCCTTCCTTGTGCCAACTGTTCCATCCTGACAGACTCAAGGTTCCAAGGTCCCACCTTCCGAGGTGGGTAAAATGAGGACCCAGATTGTTGGGGGCAATATGCTTATTCTGTAAACTGCTTAGAGAGGGCTGTAAAGCAGTATATTAAGTCTAAGGGCTATCCCTTCCCTTCCCTTCCCTTCCCTTCCCTTCCCTTCCCTTCCCTTC